TTTATCGTAATTTTGTAATAAATTCCTTCCAACGTGATCACATTGTACATTTTTAAGGCATGTAAAACAATGTATGTAAATGGATCGTATATGCAAAATGTATGAAATTTGCACTACAGTCAAAATTTGTATAGATTCTCGCGTGTGCGGGATTCTATTTATCTCTGGAACAATAGAATTTACGAAAATAATTCATAATCATGTACTAAACGGTCTAGGAAGGTCGATCGATATTTGTTAAATATTTTACTACGACCATGCAGGAAATACATTCCATTATGGAAAAGACTTTTGTTAAAATATACTTAGGTCATTTCAACTTACTGTAATAAAATGAAGCTAAAGAGTCATATTTATTAATTACTAATGAGAGTGAAAAGCAACACTGAATGACTTGCATCACTAAAGAATGCAATTTGAGCACCTTTTTATTTATAAAACGTATTGTAGTTAATATATTATGTTCCTACTCATAATGTTATTGTGTTTCTATTATGTGTATACAAATTCATAATAATAAATGAATGCTTATATATTTTGCTTTGTACGGAGCTTTGATTGCACAGACTAATAGTTTGTATTCAGACATTTAATTTTCGACTTAAAATTAATAGAATTATAAAAAAAATGAATAACAATCTATTTCTCTATGCATCAAAGATATTACTCTGATATATCAATACAAATGGCAGTAGTCAACAATAAAAGAACATTCTTCGCACTATTTGAAATTTACATATCGATGAGCAATTGTTATTTTGAAAACTAGATTCTTGAACCTATTACTTTAAAAATATATCTTCTATATTACAAATAATGCAAATAAATTCATTTATATAAAATTAGCTATTTATTGTTCTCAAGATTCTTGTGTTTGCAGAGATTCTTGTGTTTGCAAAGATTCTTGTGTTTGCAACGATTCTTGTTTTAGCATTTGTTCTTCTAAAGCTGCTTGAGTTACTTTAGCTTCTTCTATCCTCTTCTGCATAATAACAGACTGTACTTCTACAAACACTTCCATCATTTTATGATTCCCATGGACATGTTTTTCTACACATTTTTTGATACAATCATCCTGTAAAGTAATCAATTTCAAAGCATATATATTATAATGATAATACGTCATCAGTAACTCATCTAAAAGCATACCTCCTCTGCAGATATATCTCTCGATATAAACGTGTTCATACATCGTTTGAAACAGCTCTCAGAAATTTGATTATATAGAAGTAGAAAATCCTTAAACTACAAAACAACATTCACTTAAAACTGTTCTTTAACCAACATTTATAACGTGAAAAGAGGTTAGAAATCAATACTTAATTATTCAATCGAAAATATCAATAATATGTACATTTCTTATTTGCAGAACATCCATATTCAATTTACTATCTCCAAATCAAATGACACTTTCGAAATATTCTAACATTTACGATTTCTGTTTTTGTTAGGTTATATTACGCCAGCGATATTCTTCAAATTTCCAGCGATTCGAATCCGCACTATCGACTAACGATAGGTAATTCGATGTATCGACTTTAACGATATCGAGAATAATCAGACCAATTTGTATGGTTGAAACTTCAGAGTAATCAACAATTAAATTCAAACTCTCTTTGACCGAAACAACTATTTATAATAAAAATTCCGTTACCAATTTTATTCTTCTAAGGTCAGTATTTTGTGCACTATGTACTTAAATAATTCATGAACTAATTGTTCCACACATTGTCTATATATTACACAAAATAACATACCGCCAAAAATCTAGGTAAGACACAGAGCAGCGAACTATTTCATACTTGAACTATGTGATATGCGGTCATAGAATCGCTACTCTCGTATAGACTAACTAGTGGATTTAGTGACAAATATATTATATTCAATAGATCAAAAGGCACATTGATTATAGTCTCTTCGTATTGTATAACATTTTTGCAAAAAGTATTCGATCACCTTTCAAAACGCAATAACTTCCTTTAAAATTGGACTGAATCATTTTAATACTATTTAAATGTCAAAGGTACTTAAGGTGATCGAATACTTTTTGTCAGGGGTTATAATCCGTAAAATTTGAATTAGTGCGCGCATAAGAAGAGCGCGTATTCATCGGATCGCTTCGGAGGCGTTCGGGCGCGGTCGGTGGTAGCAGGCAGCGATTGGTTGCGGGCTGCGAGTCAGCGAAACGTGAATCAGCCTGAGTCAGTCGGCGTTGACGGCGGCGAAGAGTAAGAGGTGTTTATGTGTCTGAGAATAAGCCGGTGCGATAAAAAAACGTCGAGCCTCGGTGTCGGTTGCGTGTGTCGCCGGTGAATGAAGCGGGCTAATTGTTACGTGCGATGGCCGCGTGTTACAGCGAGCAGGCGGCATCCGTCTCGGGGAACGTAACGAAAAAGCCCGCACCTGCGGGTGCCGCGAAGCCGATCTGCTGGCAGCACCGGCTGTTCGGTAAACAACTGTCGCGGTGCAGCCAGGTTAATCATCAGCAGGACACGAAGCCGTGCGACGCCGGCGGCTCGCTGGTCGACGAGGACGGCCGGCCGATTTGTGAAGTGATCGGTGTGTATTTCAGTTTCATTAATCCCGGTGCTACGTGCGACGACTTCACGCGTCAGCTGCTCGAACTCTATGCGAGTGTCAACGGCGGCGGGCCGCAGCAGCAGCATACCGAGAACAACGACCGGGACGCCGAGAACCCTGGAAAAGAGAGAGAAAGACGGAAAAGGTTCGAGATCGTGCACGTGGTACTGTGGAGTAACGTCGCGGACGTCCTCGACTTCGAGGAGAGCTTCCACGCACATGTCTCCGAACTGCCCTGGCTAGCTGTGCCCAACTTAGACTACGAAAGAAAGGTACGGCGCGCGATAATTCCCCTTCAAATCGTTCATAGTTCGCTCGATTGCTAGCGGAGGCGCTGGCGCCGACGGGATCGGCTCGGGCATTCAAATTTGTTCTCTACTTTTTATTTTATTCAACTGTACAGGTAACCTCCGTATAACACGGTTGTTACGTTCCCAAAAAACGTCGTATTATATGAAAAAAAGAGCTGATACAAGAGAGCGAGGGATTTTAGGTGCCAAAAATTAGAGAAAAATTTGCTATTATATTTTTCATAATCAGGAGAAATACATTTGTTAAAGCAATTTTCATCGGAAGTATTACCACATTAATATGTACCAAATAAAATCACAAAGTTTTAAAATGTAGGTAGTACTTCACGAACAAAATGGATTCCAAAGTCTGATAAATTTAAACATTATGCGGGCAAATCTGATACGACATACACGCTGAAATGAGATATCTTGTGCAGAAAATAATGTGCGTACAATTTAGTAATCGGGTGTAAGGGCTCATTAACGAGAAATCCATTATAAAGTACAATGAGCGAAATAATGTTATTTTATTTGAGATTAGTGCATTCCCAATCCGATTCTTAATTTCGAGTGCTCGATATTGCGCTATCACAGGATAATTAAGATTATGCCGTTCGAGGTGTATCGTTGATTGACCGGATGCAGAATTTCCTGTTTTGCAGATTATGTTGGGTAATACATAAATGTATACTAGTATAATAAAGAACACCGTGAAGGAATTCTGTACATTGAATTGAAATTATGTTTACAAAAATGAAGATGATTTACATGAAAGTGTCCACACTACATCTTCAATTACGAAATCAGTTAGCAGCCGGAGCTTGCATAACCTTGACATAAATTGCACATTTTCACAATTTAATTTAACTTTACTCATACATTCTTGCCATTTTTATTATAACGTGTGCTTAAATTAAGAAGTTCATTCAATCGTTTAATATGGCTTCATAACATTGAAAACTTTAGGATAAAAAAGGTGGAATCAGTCACGTTGACCGTGCGAGGTTCTGTGTTAATTAGCTTTTCGAGGACAGTTCGCACGGCCGAATGAATGATTTCTGTCGTTTCGGCGGCAAGCTGCGTAGGCGAAAGCGGAAGAGAGTTATTAGGCTACTTCGCAGCATCTCGTGATCGCATCGAATTAATTAGAAGCGAAATTTCGCTGCCACGACACGCAGCACGTTCGTCGCAATTATTAATTCGAACTCCGTTCAATTAAGCCGCACTCTGGTCACTCGACGAAACGATTTTACATCTGCTCGCGACGTCTTATAATTGCGAGCGATCGCACTCGAAAGTTACCAGGCGGCGGCCAGGTTTTCTGTTTCGCGAGCCGGTGTCACTGACTCCTTATCGCTCGATCTGCAGACGTGCACCGGGGGCCACCAATTAAATTCAATTAAATAATCGGACTCGGGTTTTTAAGCCTGGAATAACGGTCCTTCAGCGCGCGGTGGCCATTCAGACAATTTGTAAGTTCTCAGAACTTCCCGGGGCGTTCCGGCTAATTTTAAAACCTGTTCCCCGCAATAATTTCGCCTCGTCCCCCTCCGGATCGCGCCGCAATGTCCACCGTATCATTTTTCTTCGTTTCATTTATTTTATTCACTGTTCAATTTTATCGGCCGGCTCGATATGCACCTGGAATCGTATACTAATCGAACACTTAAGTATCATTTACCAGGGAACGGAGCAAGTCGCCTTAATTCATATTGCTTGCACTCGAATCATCGATTATATTGTAATTGAACGAGGTAAACGGTTTCCGTAAACGGGAGTGAAATACACAAATTGACTTTTCCTCTTGATATTAATGATTATTTTCTCACATCTTCCTCACGTTATTTACAAAGTTTTAAATTAGATTAGAATTATTATTAGCACTGTGTACATAATATAATAATTTGTTATACAATACAAAAATACAGTCAAACAGATTGCAAAGAAAGAAAGAAAGAAAGAAAAAGAGAAATGTTATAACAAATGATGTGGTTAAGATATGACACAATAAAGTAAAAAAATCCAGGTATCTGAAGATAAGTGAAAAGCGTTAGACATGGCGATACAATATCTTAACTGGTTCAGCAATTTTACAACAAATAGGATAAAAGAACGAAGCTCGGTGTTGAAGGAACGTTTCGAACGGAAGAACAATTTACACGCAACAAAAATATTTTTACACGTCATTTTCTTTATGAAATTCTCGAAACGCAGGAAAAATGAAACTCGGCGGCGCGGTTACGCGTTCCGATTTGAATAGCCTGATGTTACAATAATGTGATTCGTGTTTGTTGGCGAGGACTGCCCGTTAAATGAATGATTAGGTCGAGCCCGAATGGGATCGTGATATCCTCCGGCTGTGCGCTGACTTTTTTTTCACGTTTCGAGGCCGGGTACACGCGGATCAATCGAGGCGAGTGTATCATTCGAAATTTTGTACACACATGTCCCTCTGTCATAAAGTTGTACGTGTATACAGAGGGCGGGGGCGGACAGGGGGTTCGGCGGAGTGAGGGGTTCGAGCCACGCATGCCGTTATGCAGAACGACCGCGCGCGTGCAGCGCCTTTTTTATTTCCAACGGGTGTTTTAACCCCTCGCCAGACGTGCTATTTAGGGTCCGATTTTATTTTGCGCCAACACACCAGCCAGAGTCGACTTTCTCTAACGAAAAATCGTCCGTGATATTTCCACCTAGCATCTGTTCGCTGCGTGGCCTTCCGTTCTCGCGATCTTCAGCCCCGCGGAACAATATTTTTTCTTCTAACTGGCGTGTTCGTGCGCCATGATTGGTTAGCCGCTACTCCCGGGGATTATTTATCAAATGATACGCTATAATCGGGTTTTTATTGTGCTCGGAGATCGATGAGAACACGCGAACTTGCTTTCGAGGGACCAGTGGTGGGGGATACAGTTGGAGCAGGCCACGTTTTCGAGGTGTAAAGGAAAATTGGGAGATCGTAGTTCGGAATAATATTGATTAGGTTCGTAGAGTTTCAGATTAGGCCTGAAGATTGAATATTTTTGACCGGTTCACGCAGGCGATATACTGTGTCGATTTTAGGGGTTACTTTGAAATGATTTTAGTTTGCTTTCTCGTGGAAATTTTATAACTTTTAAGATCTTAAATTAAAACTGGAAGAACGTACTTTATGGCAAAATCATATTGGTCCAGAGAAAAATTCGAAACCGTGTCGTAAAATCGATAAATCCCGAGCTCGGAGTAAAACAATTCAATTTTGATTGTTCACTTGTAATCAATTTTAAAATACCTCCTCGTAAGAATTTTTTAACCTTATTCAGCTTAAATTAAAGCTGGAAGAACGTACTTTATGACAAGATCATATTGGTCCAGAGAAAAATTCGAAACCGTGTCATAAAATCGATAAATCCCAATCGCGAGCTCGGAGTAAAACAATTCAATTTTGATTGTTCATTTGTAATCAATTTTAAAATACCTCCTCGTAAGAATTTTTGAACCTTATTCAGCTTAAATTAAAGCCGGAAGAACGTACTTTATGACAAGATCATGTTGGTCCACAGAAAAATTCGAAACCGTGTCGTAAAATCGATAAACCCCAATCACGTGCTCGAAGTAAAACAACTCGATCTTGATCAGTTGCTTGGAATTAATTGTAAGATCCCTTAGGAATTTCCGAACCCAATTAGACTAGAACTACAGCTAGAAGAACGTACTTTACAGTGCGTTCGAAAAAGCTTCGACATTCGAAGCTGAAGTAAGAGAAGTATACAAAAAGCGTTGTTCCATTAAAAAGAAAGGCGCGATCGCTGGATAGGATATTCAGCGATTAATGCGTGATCCGAGACGGCTCCGCGCGTTGATCTATTAATCAGCGACGTAGCTCTCGATGACTCCGAGCGATATCTCTTGTCTTAAAAGTTCAAGTGACTCTACGATCCATTACGGCACTTCGTGCATCCGCGGCAGGGCTCGCCTCTCCCCTGTACTTTTCTCTGCGAATTAACGAGCTCCTAGTATCGCAGCCGACTAACGAATCGAAAAGAAGCAAGCAGAAATAAAACCGAGAGATAGACAGGATAAAGAGAGAAAAAGAAGAGAGGAGAAAAATTCCAGGATGTATAGGCCTGTGTATCGGTGGGTTCGGAGGTCTCTATCGCGGGTTGAATTTGAATGCGACGGCGGGTTTCGCGGCGCCTCGAAACTTTTTCTGTAAGACGGATACTCTTGCAGGTATTCCTTTACCTGTGTGTACACGTAACCGAACGATATAAATGTAAGAGTCTATCGGAGGTCGTTATTCCATCCCCCTCTCTCCTTTTTTTCCACGATCATTAGTCAGGCCACTCGAGCCGTTGGTGTTTGTGATGCATATACATACACTCAATAGTCTGATCCCGCGAGTAAATGCAACGATAAGCGTCCTGCGCAATTAGCGTCAAGTAGCCTCGTGAATTCTTTCTTGCTCGTTATTCCGCCTATCCTGGCCGATCCACATTGGGAATCATCCCCTTGAAATCGTAGGTTCTTTGTGCCCTGCCCCATTCATTTAACAATGAGAAGACCAACTTTCGGTGTGTGGGAGAGGAGACGTGGTAACCTGTAACAGAAGGAAACGGCCGCGGGATACTTTCTCCCTTTCGTCTCCTTCTTTCTTCGTTTCCCCTGTTTCGTTACCCCGTATTTTCCTTACGTCGCATTCCGGATAAACAAAGAATATCGGAGAGAACGGGTGGCGCAGTCGCCAAGGTAACAGCTACAGTACGTCGGAAACAGCTGCATCAACGCGAATCCTCACATCTCGGTGGAATGTTTTATTTTCATTTGATATTTGATCAACATTGCTGAGCGTAAATATCCAGTATTCACCATTCAACTAATTTTTACTAAACGAGTTCAATTTGGTTTAAATGTTAAGGGAAATAGTTTACTACGTATATATGTTCTTTTCTTAAATGTTCGTTCCAGATTCAGATAAAGAAGTTAAAAAATGGGAGTTG